CCTTTCACAAAAAAAGAAAGACAAAAAGAAAGAAAGAAAGAAAAAGAAATTGAAAGAGAGAAATAAAAGAAGGTAGAAAGAAAGGGAACAAAAGAAGAAAGGAAGAGAAATAAAGCAAGAAACGATAAGAAACAAAGAAAGGAAAAAAGAAACTGAAAGAAAAGAAAGTAGGAGCATTAATTAAAAAGGAGAGAGAGGAGAGAGAGAGAGAGAGAGAGAGAGAGTAAGAGAGAATGAGAGAATGAGAGAAAGAGAGAAAGAGAGAATGAGAGAAGAGAGAGAGAGAGAGAGAGAGAGAAAGTGAGGGGAGGGGGAGGGAGAGACAGAGACAGGGACAGACAGACAGGCATGGAGTAATAAGTAATAAGAAAAGAAGCAATAGAATAGAAAAGAGATAAAGAAAAGAAAAGGAAGAGAGAAAAAAGAAAATTGGCAAATGTGATCCGTTTTTCACATGCGAACGCTGTACAGATTTTGCACAGAAGTGATCCTCAGTGCCACTTTGTCTGAGCGGTTAAGCGAGAAATGGTGGACCTCGTGAAAGAAATTGCAACACGGCGGAGAGGAGAAAGAGAGAAAGAGAGAGTAAGAGAGAATGAGAGAAAGAGAGAATGAGAGAAAGAGAGAGAGAGAGAGAGAGAGAGAAAGATTGAAAGAGAGAGAGAGAGAGAAAGAGAGAATGAGAGAATGAGAGAAAGAGAGAAAGATAGAAAGAGAGAAAGAGAGAGGGAGAGAGAGGAGACTAGAAAGAAGCGAAACAGTGAGGAGAAAGAGAGAGAGAGAGAGAGAAAGAGAGAGAAAGAGAGAGAGAGAGTGAGAGACAGAGACAGAGAGAGAGCGAGGAGAAAGGGAGATAAGATTAAGAGATGAGATAGAGAGAAAACCGATAGAGAGGAATGGGAGGAGATAGAGAGAGAAAAAAAAGAGGAAAGGAAGGTATAAGAAGATACAACAGACATAGATAGATAAAGGAGATAGATAAAGGAGAAAGAGAGAGGTGATAATGATTAAGGTAAAGAGAGAACAAATGAAACCAGGGGAAAAAGAGAGAAGATAAAGAGAGATGAAACAGAGAGAGGAAATGGGAAGAGGAGGGGAGGTCCCGGACCCCCACCCCCCTCCCGGTCGAACTCGCTTATTAGATATTAGCTATCTGGCGTCAGGTAAGTGGGGGGGGGGGGGTAGGGAAAGGGACCGCGAGTAACGGCATAGGGAGAGATGGAGGGGGGGGGGAGGATTAAAAGGGGGGGGGGAGGCTTTGTAGGTCAATGCAGTGCCAGGGAAATTGCGTTAGTCTTGTTTACGCATGTGTGTGTTTGTTCTTGTGTGTGGATTCATGTACGTAAGTGTGTGCTTGCCTAAAGGTGCGTATTCATGTGTGTGAGCGTGTATGTGTGTGCGTGTATGTCTGTATGTATGTGTGTGCGTGCGTGTATGTGTGTGCGTGTATGTGCGTGTGTGTGTGTGTGTGTATGTGCGTGTGTGTGTGTGCATGTGTGTGTGTGTGTTTATTTGTGTGTGGTTCGTTGAAGCTTTAAATGTATGACTGTTTTTTGTAAAAGAAAGAAAAAAAAAAGAGAAAAGAACAGATATGAAAACAATTTTTTTTGTGTGTTTGTGTAAAGATATTTTTTCCCCTTCCCCTTCTTGCCGTCTGATTCTAGAATTGAATTGAAGTCTAAAATATGATTGTTGTTATTGATGTTTTATGGCTCACGATGATGGCGTCGACTCACTATCGGATATTATTCCAGTCAT